CTGGAACTCACTATGTAGTCCAGGCTGGTCTCGAACTCACAGTGATCCTCCTGCCTCAGCCTCCCAAGTGCTGGGATTACAGGTGTGCACCACCACGCCTGGCTTCCTTGATCACTTTTTATACAATAATGCTTAATGTAAACATACAAAAACATGTAAGTCACTATTATTATTTTAAGTTAATCATACTCAAGCAGCAAAATATTTTAGAAGTTATTCTGTTAGTCCTATTCTTGAATCAAAGTGATAGAATTTGGGGGGCCAGGGATTTAGCCCCATGGTTCTGCTGCCTGCCTCACAAGGACAGGGACCCCAGTTTGATCCCTAGTACCAAAAAAAAAAAAGTTAATCCCTTGTACCAAAAAAAGTGATAGAATTTTTCAAAGTGCAAATACAACAAATATTCAAAAGAAGGAAATTAATTGTGAAATTAACATTTTTTTAAATTACAAAAATGAGACTATTTACACAGGTAATGTACATGAAAACATTTATACTGGAAAAAAGTGATAAACCCTGCCTGCTTCACCCATCAAGAAAGCTTACAATGAGCTGTAATGAATTGAAAGCTGTACATTTTCACTGGGACATGGCTACATGTATAAGTTAGATAACAGCACACACTGTAAGAATGTATATACTAGAAGATTCATTCATCAGCTCAGAACATAAAGATAGTAACTCTTCAAATTGTGTCCCCTAAATCCTCAAAGGTTTAAACTTCAAACAAACCTGGGGCCATAAAGAGCCAGACAGTAGGCATGTTTCTGGGTACTCTTCCCCACCTAAATGCACGCAACTTTTACTGGATGTAGACTGGGCTATTGTATTTTTTCTCTCAAAAAATTCTGATGGTAAAACCATTAATCTCAAACAACTAGTTGGTTGATTGGTTGGTTGGTTGGGTTTTGAGACAGGGTATCCCAGGTAGCCCACAACAATCTTGAGCTCCTGTGCTCAAGTGATTCTCCTGCCTCAGCCTCCTGAGTAGCTGGGACTGCAAGTATATACCACCACACCCTGCTGAGCTACTGATTTTGTTATTCTTTCACATATGCGCATTTCACATGACAGAATCAACAGCACCCTTGAAACATTCCATTTTACATTTTCTATTTAAAATTTTAAGTCCCACATTGCACAGTACAACTCTTCTACAAACTAAAATATGGGAAGAATTTCTCTTGTCCCTTGGCACATTATTTATACTGCAAACAAGATCATCCAACAAACTACTTGACACATCACATGTAGGACAATAAAAGTATTTTTAACTTGTCATTTTTGCTTACTGAATTTTTAACAAGAGAGAACAACTGAAACACAAAGCAGAATCTGTGGCCTATTTGATATGCTATGCTCAAAATACAAAACCTAAGATTTTTCTGTTCCTGTGTTGGGCTATGACAGGCTTTATTCATATTAAAGCACTGTTTTTTTTGTTAATATTTTCTTTATTGGTGCTTCATTCATATTAGCAAACTTTCAACTACTAATAGTTTTTCAAGCTTAAAATCTAATTAATATCTTAGAAGAGTTGATTTTATAAGAATGACCCTATTTCCAGATTATTTCTAGCCTCTCAGGCAAAGTCAGCCACCACTTTGTTTACGCATTTATTCCTATCCCTGACCCATGCTGGGCATGATTACTCAATTACAGCCACAGTCCTCTGAAAAGAATGGACCTTAGAATCCCTCATATAGCATTCCAGGCAATAAGCAGGAAATGTAATAGTGTTGGCAGGCAAATAGAGCCTATTATCATGTGGTTTAAGAGGGAAGACATAGACCTCAGCTAATATTATGGGTTCTGACAGGAGATAAACTCCATATAGGGCAGACATATCCCTTACTCATTAAAACTTTCCATGAATTCACCTAAGAAAATCTTAATTAAGATGGTAAGTCTGCATACACAAGCGCGCGCGCGCGCGCACACACACACACACACACACACACACACACACATACACACAGACAGGTTGGGCATCCCAAATCCAAAAATTCTGAAACAGAAATGTTCTAAACTTTAAACATTTTAGATCACTAATACACTCTAGTGACAAGGAGAAGCTTCTACACCTGACTTGATGTAATGGGTTGCAATAATGATACAGGTGTACAACACAGTTTATTCAATATCCCCAAAGCACAGTGGGTGTGGTGGTATATGCCTGTAATTCTAGGTACTCAGGAGGCTGAGGTGGGAAGATCTTAGACTCAAGGCCAGCCTAGACAACTTAGTGAGACCTTGTCTCAAAATAAAATTTAAAAAGGGCTGGGAATATAGCTCAGTGATAGGGTACATGTCTAGTATGTGCAAGGCCTTGGGTTGTTCAATCCCCAGTGCCAAAAAAACAAACAAACAAAACTTCAGACCTTTCAGATGCAATGCACAAACTGTTTCACATACAAAAATATTAAAATATTTTATAAAAGTAATTTAACACTATGTGTACATGAAACATGAATAAATTTCATGTTTAAACTTGGGTCCCTAAACTTAAGGTACCTCATTACGTATATTCAAATATCCCAAAGTCTGAAAAAATAAAATCTGAAACACTTGTGGTCCTAAGCTTCTCAGAAAAGAGAAACTCAACCTGTATTATATTTAACTACAAGAAACTGACAATATTCAACCACTTTTGATCTATAAAAACAGTAAATTCAACCTCATTTTTACATATATACACAGAAATGAAAATACAGATTATTGCTCATACAAATAATCTGACAGTTATTTCCTTTGGTAGATGAGAGTATTACCTCTCATCTACCAATGAAGATTAAAAAGAATACAATTAATTTCTTATCCGACTGTGAAACAATATAACGATCCACACAAATAAATGTACTTTTCACAAAAGGCTGCAGTTTCCACCCATTATAACAAGGTAATCATTGAAATAGAGATCTATATAGTGTGAATACCACATATCACTATTGTGTTTCTGTTCAACTGAGAGCAAAAAGAATCAACTCACCCAGCAATGTTGGCCATGGAGCTTAGCGCATCATATCCCTGAGCAATGGTAACTCTTGGGACCTGGTCCATTGCCAGAACTGTAGTTTTTCTTTTGGAAAGTTTATTTAGCAAGTCAGGATTTTGAGCTGGGTAAATAAAACTTATCAATGTTCCTGATGTCTTTAAAAGGTCAGCTTCATGAACACCTGATGGATTAACCATGGGAGCTCGCACCTGAAAAGAAAGTCAAATCACAAATAAAAATATGAATACCAGGCTAAGATGTAGCTTGTGGTACAAGCACATGCCTAGATATGCAGAGCCATAAGCTCATTCCCAGCACTATTTTTTTTAAGTATATGTTTACAATATGTGTGTGTAAATACAAACAGTACACATTTTTAAGTACACAGGATAATTTAGATAATATTCCATGAATGAAATTCTGTAATACTCCAGAAGTAAAACTTTCAACATTAAGTGTCCACTTGATTCTTAAGCAGGGTGAGGTACACATAGAACATATCATCTAACCTATGGACTGTTTAAAGAAAACCCACACCCTGGAAATACATATCACCAGGTCAGGTTTGACAATTAACTATAGAGCAATGTAGTAATAAAGAGGTTTCGTAATAAATTTGTCCTCTCAAAACCTATTAGTCTAGTAAAATTAGGAGTCATCAGGAGTAGGAAGTTTTTGTTATATGTATAAAGGTTCAATTCTTGCTAATTTGGGCAAGCATAAACATTTGAAGTGGGAAAATATTAGAAGTATTGTAAACTAAAGTCTCCAAGACAGTAAGTACAGATTTGCGTCACCTTGAAATTCTAGATGACTATTTACAAACACAATTCAAACTAGTAGCTTTCCTTAAGTAAAAAGCTACAGTATATTCTTTAATGTTAATAAGTATCATTATATTTCTTCCATTAGCTCCCAGTCTGCAGTAATACTTTGTTTTAAAACACAAATAGAAATACAGGGTCAATCATTTCCTAGCACATTTCAATTCAATTTATCTATGAGACTATTTCTTCTATAGGTACCATTTCAAAATTTTAATTAAAAATTTTAACTAAGCCGGGGATTTAGCTCAGTGGTTCCACTGCCTGCCCCGCAAGCACAAGGACCCGAGTTCAATCCCCAGTCCAAAAATATTTTTTTAATTAAATTGAATTTAATTAATTTAATTTTTTTAATTAAATTGAATTTAATTAATTTAATTTTTTTAATTAAAAATCACTAAACTGGGGCTGTAACTCAGTGGTAGATGACCTGCTTAGCAGTCACAGAGACCCAGATGCAACCCCAAGCACCCAAAGAAAATATGTTTGGGTAGAAGTGTAGCTCAGTGTAGAACACTATCCTCAGCACACCAAACACACACACATACACGTTTGACAGGAACTGTCTTTCCTCCGTGAAAATCTGTAACATTTATTCAGTAAGAACTAGGAGGACAATTCTGAATTTATTCTACTGACCCCTCTCAAATGCTCAGCTAAGACTTGGCATCTGAGTAGGTAAGGCCAATCAAATGTTCTCTCTGATTTGTTCCTCAGGATATCAATGTGTTTGACTCAATAGAACGGCCCCAATTCAAACAGCTTATTAGTGCTAGTAAAAAGTTACATACATTTCTATATTATAGATTTCTCAGTGCATCTTTTAACAAACTCATACACATTACAAATCCCTAAAAAGACAACAGAGCATTTTTAAAAATTATGTATACCCTTACAATCTTTTGAGGAACATTTCAAAAGATTTTACCCTTTCAAACACACATTATAATGTGTTGTATTTATTTCTCTCTTTTCCCTAAATTATTTTACTATACATTAAGTTATATCACCAAGTACCTATAAAACTAAGACTTTAAAAAGTCTTGGCTGAATTACAATTTATCTTCATACTATAAATTTTCTACAGTAATTAGTTTTGCACCTTCTGCATAAGTCACCATTTAGGATCCTGTCAGGGCTAATGGAGTAGCTCAGTGGTCAACCTCATGCTTAGCATGCTTGAGGCCCTGAGTTCAAGCCCCAGCACCAAATTAAGATGACCCTCTCACGTTTTTCACAAGACTTTGATTAAAGAAAAAAAAAACTATATAATTGCTTCAGCTTATAAATCACTACAAGAAATGCACATGTTGCCCAAAAAGAAATTTATTTTAATCTAGTAGTCATACTTTCATATTCATACATCCCTGTTTGACTTGGTTGAAAGGGGTTTAGATGTTTTTTTTTTTAAACCTGGGATCAAACTCAGGAATCTGCACTTGTGAGGCAGGCAGCGGAAACACTGAGTTAAATTCCCTGGCCTCAAGAATTTAATTTAATTCTTAACTCTTGTTATCATCTTGTTATCACTCTTTACGTCATTCTTCACTTCAGATTTTAATTCTAAAGTTCTTTACTATGCAGACTTCTACACATTTTCTTAAAATCTTTTAAAGTCAATAAGGCTAGTCACCACTCAGCCCAATGCTGCTTTCTCTAGAACAGTCATGCTCTCTCTCAAAACAGCCTTTCTGTCAATGTAAATCACTGTGCCTTCAGGCATGAGACACTGAACTTTCAGTCCCAGGCTGGCTTTCACACTTTTTTTTTCCATTCCAGTGATAGTTAACTATTCACCTCTGATAGATCATGTAACATACATCTCCTCAGCCAAGTAAAAGGGAATTTCCACACAGCAAATGTAGAAATGAATATCACTTTTCCTCTTCTCATGGTTAAACATACATCATCTTTCCTAATAAAAGTTCACTGGAGCATGAAGAATATTCACAAAATACAATTATTTCTTTGATAAAAAGGCATTGTCTGAAGAGATGAAAAGCTAAAATGATTAATGATAGATATGCCAAACCCTTATTTGATCACTGCATGTTGTGTGTGTCTGTGTGTGTGTACATATATGTCAAAATGTGATACTGATACCCCATAAATATATACAATTATTGTGTGTCAATGAAAAACAAAAAACATTGGAAAAGCTATAAAACTACAGAAAGTAATTAACTTTTCTAAAACAAAAAGATTTCAAAAGTTAGCAAGCTATAAATGAGACATAGAAAAGAAATAATTACTTTGACCACCAAATCAGAAGCCAGCACTTCCTTTGTCCCTTGTATTTGAGCACCTGCTGCTCTGTAGTGATCATCTGAGAACTTCGAAGCTTCACCTGCACCTGATTCTACAATAACATTAAAACCCTGCTTGACCAAAGCCTGAACACCAGCAGGAGATAATGCCACTCGCTTCTCATTTTGGAAAATCTCCTTGGGGACGCCAACAGTCAGCTGCTTATATGGAATTCCTACAAAAAGACAAAGGCAAAAAAAAACTTAAAAAAATACCAGACTTCTGAAAATTGGCAGCCTATTCTTCAGACTATATTACTCACAAAGTGCTATTCCAAATGATGTTCTTGATTCATAATTATAAGTCTTCCACTTTTTTTGAAAGCTGATGAGAAATTTTTATGTCCACTCTACTGTAAGTTCTAAATATTTAATCAAATGGCTCTCTTCAGTGAACACGAAGCTTAGTTTACTCTTAGGGAAGAAAATAGGTTGAGAGGGCACACATGTTAACTCCACTCTTCAAATTAACCCACTAAGAATACTGTCTCCCTGTACTGACAGTCCACAAAGATAGAAATAAACCATCATTTTAAAGAATAATCCTATAGGAGATACTCTGATGATATAACACACCCAAAGTCCCCTTCCTGGTAATCTGGACACTGGAAATTCCTCAGAGATTTCCAAAGATTGTATCTTAGAGATCATACACACTTAGCAATAAATGATTAGACAAGGAATGAGCAAGTAGGTCAAAGACAATCTTCTACAGGATACACAGGAGAAAAACCAGCAGCTACAACATACAAATGACCTGCACAGACTCTGCTTGAGGACATTCTGTGTTGGCCAATGATTATTCCAGCCAATCAGGTTCTCCCTCAGGAAGTCTTACAGGGAGACACACCAAAAAAGACAAGGAGAATAGAGTGGTGCAGGAGTTATTTGTAAGCACAGCCCTGAGGTTATCAAAGGGAGGTCAGCAGCAATAGTAGTAGACAAACCAGTAGTAGATATGCAAAGAAAGAAAATAGACATAGCTATGAAATCAGCTTTACTTCTTTACTTCTTCAAGAAGTACTTATGCATTAACAATTTATAGCACACCAGGGCCGGGGATTTAGCTCAGTGGTTCAGTGGCCTGCCTTGCAAGCGCAAGGACCCAAGTTCAATCCCCGGTACCAAAAAACAAACAAACAAACAAACAAACAAAACTGTCA